GACTGGTGGGGGTTTGTTTCACAGATTCTCCGCCACTGTAATCCAGGGTTCCTTAGATAGTCAGCTCGAAAGACTGTTTCTTTTGTTTCGATGTGTTTTCTCAGCCATTTCATTTTTGCGCCCATACATAGATCGAAATTTTGTTGTTGCTTTTTACAGATCGATTTTTGTTTTTTGTTTTAAATTATCTTGAAAAAAGTAACGGCTGTTCATTGTCCTTGAGGTCTTGTGATATCTTTGTTTTGTATTGTCCTGTTTGAATTCATTTGAATTGTTTATTTTGTTTGATGGATTAGTCCACTTACTCTTTTCTTTCTGTCTTTCCCTGTCTGTCTTTGTCTCTTTCTGTCTTTGTCTCTGTCTGTCAGTCTTTCTGTCTATCTGTCTGTTTGTCTCTCTCTTTCTCTCTCTCTCTCTCTCTCTCTCTCTTTCTCTCCCTCTCTCTCCCCCCTCTCTTTTGCTGCAGATTGTCCTGATCCTTACTCAGAAAGATGGGACGGGGGAAGATGAATCTTCTGGGGTGTTTCATTTCATCGGTCACTATTTCCTTTCAATGGCTTTTTGTAAGGAACCATATCAGCTTCTAAGACTGACTATACTTGTTTGGGTTGTTCTCTTCATTTCCACAGGACTCCCTCTTTTGATTACTTCCGTGTGGGCGGGGCTTATGCAAGAGTTCCATCACAAGGAATGCTGGGAGAAATATGCGAACAACCCGCTCATCTTCATCGTTTTCATCCCTATACTCCTGGCTTTAGTTGTGAGTAAATTGCCTGGCTGTTGTACTTTTTGTTGTTTTCGTCATTGCTTTATTTCTTTGTGCGTGTTATTGCTCAACACAGTTTTCATAGGACAGGAAGATACTCTTTTCCAGAGACTTTCGGCATAGTCTTGAGTGTCTGGGGTCCACTCTCACGCACAACGTCATTTTCCAGATTTCCAGGTTATTTTGTACTATATTAACTCTATCAGTGAACAGCAAGCTCATCTACCTTCTTTGAAATAGCCCTCCATAATTTGTTGAACATTTTTTGGGGGGGAAGGGGGGCGGGGCCGGGGAGGGGGAGTGTTGGGGATGTGTCTTTTTTTAATCTTTTGAAAGTTGTTCAATCGTTTGAAAGTTTTTCAACGAAGGACATGACGATAGTAGAATGAGAGGAAAGGGATCAGGTTCTATATTTTCAACCCCTGAAATTAGAATAGGTCTGTCTTTTTCATTGCTACTGAAAACAAGCATTTGAATCAAATCAGTGTCTTCGAGTTTGCTGCTAGGAGAAAAAAACATTTTTAGTGCCATATTTGTTGGGCAGACAGATGGTTAAATTTTCAGGACGGTGTTGAAAATTATCAACTCGTCTCACACTCTCTGTAAAGTTTAAAAATATTACATCTTAGCGACCTTGATGAAGTAAAAAAAAATGCAAAGACATCAAGATCAATGTGTGGCAATCTTAAATGATAGGAGGAATGTATTAGGATTAGACGACTATATGCTGGGACTTTTATTTCATTCTTTCAAATTCCAACCTTTATCCCCATGTTGATCGCCTACGTTCTCTTGATTAATGGACATTTACGTTCTTAATATTATGTAATATGTATTATATATATATATATATATATATATATATATATATATATATATATATATATATAAATATATATACATATATTATATTATAATATGCAAATATACACATTGACTGCCCTTAGTCTGTGTCTTTTTTGGTTGCTATCTTTTTCGTAAACTATTTTCTGGGTGTCAGCTTTATTTATATTATTATAATTAACATTAATTTTTTTAAAATTATTATTGTTATTATTATTATTATCATTATTATTATTATTATTATTATTATTATTGCTATTATTATTATCATTATTGTTATTATTATTAGTATTATTATTATTATTATTATTATTATTATTATTATTATTATTATTATTATTATTATTATTATTATTATCATTAAGTGTGTTGGAGTTTAACACTAAACAAGAAACAATGTAGGTCACTTTGTAGGCGGGCTGAGGAAAAAAAAATATTCCAGAACGGGCAAGTTAAATCTGAACCCGTTGGGAAAAAACCCCGTAACAGCTGCAAGGAGGTATGGGTCACAACAACTATGCCACAGCTGCCGACCTTTTCCAGTCCGCACGAAGTATTCTTTTTTATGGAGAGGGGGGGGGGGTGGGGGCAGCGGATTGTCTAGTGATGTGTCTGCCCAAGAGCTATAGATACATACCATCTCCCATACTTCTCTTTCGGTCAATAATTGATTTCTGGTAGTGTGGCCTATTCTTCTTCAGGGACCCAGCAAGAATGGCATTTGGCCCGAGTGCCAGTTTTGAAAATGAACAATTGATAGGGGGGGGGGCTTTTTGTGTCCGTTGACAAATTAATGACTTGCTCTGAAACGTGTAGTAACCAAAATATTGTTATTTCTAAAAATCTTCAGAACGATTCTAGTTGGATCTGCATTCTTTCTTTTTGGAGGAAACTTCTGGTTGAAGCTCATCATTGACGAAATGTAACAGTACAATTTAAAAAGAGAAATTCTAAATTCCCTTAGTACCTCAGTTTGATGAACAATTTAAATGCATTATTCTTTAGCTTGTCACAAACGAGTATTCAATGCAGTGATTTTAGTTTAAAAGAAAAGCATTTACTCCACAATATAATATGAAAAAAACGACTCTCCGATAAAATTTTCCCCTAATTACACACAAGAAATAATAGACAAAAAGACACTACAGAATCTTTATAGATTATCAGATATCCGAGATGTCATTGGTTGTCCACTAACATAATTCATATGTCGAACTGAACTACAGAAAAATATGAAAGTCATGGGGTACAAAACATTCTGACAGGCAACTCGTTATTTAAAAATTTCAACATCACTTTTCACTCTATCCTTTGTGACCTCTGTGTTCACTCTTTGTGGTTACAGAGTACTGAGGCTTGCCTCGGCCTTGATGACAAAAGCAATTGAGAAGAGCAGTTATTATGGCAAAAACATAATTTAGTCCTTTTCCTTCTAATGAAGTGGGGTTTTCCCCCGCAAAAACGCTAGTCATTGGATTCTACATTATTAACTAAGTAAGAGTAGACAGAACTACAAAATGAGTGACCTCGGGAAATCGTACAGTTTTAGTTTTATACGTTTTTTACGGCACTTGCAGTACAGTTACGTCACATAAGTGCCGAAGATATGAGGTCTTGCTAGAGCGTAGCGTACAAAGAAAAGAAGAAGCGATATGGATAATGGATGTTTAAGAGGAAAGAAGGGGCAAACAGCAGCACAGTACCCGCCAAACACCCACCTGTCAAATATGAATCGAAGAAAGGGAAAATGCCTATGCTATTGGTCTGTTGCAGATTCATTCTGGAAAAAAAGGTGATATTGATAATGCTGGTAATGCATACTGCCAAAGACAAACGATTTAATAGCGTATTTTATGATAATGATCGCGTTTAGCTCGAGCAGTGATAAATTAATTCACTAGGCCTAGGTGGTCAGCTTAAAACGTGTTCAAAAGCACGCCATGTACCATTTAATTTGTTATTGTCTCTTGTAGGCTACACCTTCTTTGAGGGAAAAAACTCATTCATGTGCCTGTAATGTGGTGAAACTGCAAGATGCTTCTGAATAGCCTTCTGCCTTTAGTACGAGTTTCTTATTGGAATTAATTATACTCCCTGTTTAACTAAGCGTTTGGTTCCAGAAATCAGAAGTAATGAGCCTTGCTGCTTACAGAAACCGTGGTTTGTGAAGGACGTGCTCAGCATTAACGTTCGTCCAATGACAATGTAGAAAAAAAGTGGGTCGGAGGGAGACCGGGAAGGGGGGCTGGAGGGGGGGGGGCTTTTCTCGAAGAGACTTGTGGAAAACTGAAATATAAGACAACTGGAGACCATTTGCTCCTTATTTCAAGACTCAAGAGAGTGGGATTCGGTTTCCTGCTATAACGAGGTGTACAGGGCGTCCAATAACACTTATGTTAACATTCTACACCTTAACAGCTTGGTTCATATTACTCACTCATTTTTCAGTTCAATTATGGTACACCGGTCAACGATCGGTCACGTCTTTCTTCCTTTCACATCCAAAGGCTTAAGAGAGAGAAATGATAGAAAGTTAATAGTTCTCTTCTGGAGAATGATGGAAGTTTCTATTTCTTCTTGCCATGTTTGAATATCACGATTTGCGGCTTACAGATTTCTTGAAATGAGTCGTCCATAAAGGTGAACTTTAATAATATTACTCGAGTGTAATGTTTGTGGGAATAGGACATTGTCATGGTCGTGTTACATTTATAGTTTAAAGATAAAACAAACTCTAAAAAATATCATTCTTAATGTAAACGTATAAATCTGCGGTTTGAGCTAGACCAATATTCATTTATTGCTTGCCATTTGGTAGCTACGTATCTGGGCTGAAAATCGTCTTTTAAGATACTTGACATGAAAAGTCAAACATTAGGCATGAAGCTATCAACGCAGACAGCTTTGTACTTGAATGCCTGTGGCAGGTCTGCCTTCGTGTTCAGAGGTGTGAAATGGATGGCAACTGCTGCGGCCTGTATCATAGACACCCTGCACTTGTAACCTCTGACCGTAGTGGAAGAAAAGAAAGTTTTAAACCATGGATTGGCAAGTTAAATCGACCGAGATATTTTCACAACTGAAGTAAATGCTTCCATGTCTTCAATGTTGTGCAAAAAAACATTACCTATACCTAATTTTGATGGTAGTTGTATGTGTTTAGATATTTTTCTTATTGAATTTCATTATAGAAGGCTCGAGAAGGAGGAAGGAGTGTATATGCATGGGTGGGCTGAGTATATTATCGGTTTGTGATTTGTTTCTTTTTATATGTGATTTATGGCCTTTTGTGCTGGCGTAATAATATCATAATATTATACTATAACATGATGTCTGGGACAGTTTACCCTTGGTCACGGTTCATTACTAGCTCTGATGGCCACTGGTCGATACCTCTTTGTCTCGCTTCAATTGACGTTTCAAAATCTAATCTATTACTTAACCAACTGCACTTGTTTTCTTTTTTTCGGACCTTGACCTTTCTTGCTTATAATCTCTGTGTTAAACTATTGTTTGCCATCCTATGATGCTTCACCATTCCAGTCGTGAATATTAAATACGTTTTTTGTTCTTTAGAGTCTTTGACATGCCTGTATATATATGAAAAGTAAACTTACAGTATTTTCCCAATTGTTATTAACCCCTTCATAGCAAACACCCCAAATTTGCCTCGGTTCCTTCATAAGGCTCGTGTAATAGTATAGGACTATTAGGTAGCATCGCTTTCTCATCTACATAAATCAGAATACAAGACTAGAATGTAAGTCAGCTCAGCAAGTGGGATTTATTTTTTTTAATCTTAAAAAATCAGAATGTTGCTGCATGTTCAAGGTGAATTAACAATTTGTATTCACAACTGCACTTACATGAACTGCATCATTTTTCATATGGGAACCGCATCGTTTTTCAAATCGTCAGTAGCACATAATAAGGAAAATGTTCTTGTTTACCTGTCATCCCTTGCATTGTTTTTGTTTCCCCATCTCCTCCTGAAGCTAAAACGACCAGACTACCTATCATCTTCCCAAAGAAGAATGTTTGCACTCCATGACTCCTCGAGTTTTGTTAGGAAAAGAGGAACCCCGGAGAACTACCTTCTTTTTCAAACTGAGAGAGGGTTTCATTAAGAGCCTTCCTTCTACCTTCTGTGA